CAATAAGCGGACAACCAGCACTATAGTATCGTTCATCAGCGACCAAGGGGGAAATGAATGTCGTTCGATTTGTGTGTATGTAAAAATGTTTTGTAACGAGACCATATTGTAATGGGTTTGAAGATTTCAAAATAAAAAATGGTAGATGAAAAGCAAGTATCATTCTCTTCGGAAGCTCAGATCCATATTCCAATACTGTGAGCAGTATTCCAATAGGTAGATAGGCGCCTCTCTGTTGTAATCGAACTATTCATCCCACAGTCACCAAAAGTTTCTGTTCCGCGCCTGCCATTCGACATTGTTGTCGATGATGATTAATTATCGTACATCCAATATGCATATAAGTAGAAGTGATGAAAAAGACTTGAACAGTTTCTTGCCTTATGATTCGGAGCATCGAAATTAGATTCGTGAGTTAATCAATCAGATGTCATGCAGATATAAAATATTCAATATGTTCCTTGAAATCCACACTGGCTGGCATTTTGGTGACTTATTTTTTCCAAATGACAGGTGTTGGATACGCTGCATAGCGCCAATAAGATTTCCACAACGTACACATCTCCAAAGCCAACAAAGATACTCTTCTAACGCTGAACTTCAGCACGCTGTTGTCCGTCAAACTGATATTGGTTGCCTAGGCAGATAGCAACTGCAGCATACAATAGGATGAGTACAACAGAAGAACCTATAGCGCCAACTGAGGCCGGAGCTCCTGATGCCCGAGAGCAAATGTCAGCAGAGCTTGGCATGATTGGCGACATTTCCGAGACTATTGAAGAGGGAGAAGAAGACGAGGAATCGGAGGAGGAAGAAGAAGAGGTGCCATCGCCAGCAGCAGCAGCTCCTGGTGAAGCAGCCCCGACTGAAGCTGCTACAGCAGAGGGCGCCAACGAAGAAGATAAACCGAAAAAGAAAAAGAAGAAGAAATCAAAGGGTGCCAAATTTATGAATAAAATGGCACAACCTGGTGTGTTCATGGCTAAACAAGCTCAAAAGGGTGTGGAAACGATGGTCATTAATCCC